AATTGTAATACTCTACTAGTTGATACATCATTAATAGATTTAAAAGAAACTCGTTTTTGTTTTCCTTTAGCACAAGCATCACAGATTTTATCATTATCAAATTTAAGCTTAGGCAACCCTCGAACTAAATCACCTTGAATTAGCCGTTGTAAAACACTCATACTAGCATGACCTAGTCTCCTATGCCATAACCAACTATCATGCTCATCCTTAGCAACTAGGCATAAATTAGTCATATCAATAGAATCTAAATGCACCATGTAAATGTTTCCTATTCTATGACCAACAAGCATAATCCGATTAGATGCAATGTCAATGACTTTACAACCATTAATTTCAAATAAGACATTGAATCCTTTATCGCATAATTGACTAATACTCAATAGATTATGCTTTAATCCATTCACATATAAAACATTCTTAATTTGTATGGAAGAGGTATTACCTATTGTACCAATACCTTCAATGTGACCTTTTGAATTGTCTCCAAAAGTCACTTCTCCTCCATTTTTGGCGTTAAGCTCAATGAACCGGCTTTTGTCTCCGGTCATGTGTCTTGAGCATCCACTATCAAGGTACCATGAATTTGAATTGTTTCCCGTGCCTTGTAGCAATGCTCCTTTCCCTACAAACATAGATTAATTTTTGATTTTTGGTACCCAAATTCTTTTGGGTCCATATTCATTAGTTTCCAAAATCCTAGTTCCCTTAGGTATCCATTTTTGTAGGATATCTTTATCTTTAGTAGTAATGAGTCCTTTAGGAACCCATATACTTCTAAATATTTTACCATTTAAGGTTCGTTGAGGATTTCTATGATTGTAGTTTCTAAAATCTTTTCTAGCAAAGTTGGATTTTGAATTTTCTCCTTTTTCAAAATGTTTTGTTCCAACTTTATCAAAAGAGATTTTAAGATCATCAATTTTCTTTTGATGATCATCATTGACCTTTGAAAGTAAATTTTGCAAATCTAAATTTTTCTTTTCAAACTCTTCTAGTTTGATTTGCAAATCTTTAATTTTACTTTCAAGATCATTGTTGGTTTTGGATATGAGTTTATTTTCATTTTTCAACTTTGAAACATCATTTTTATATTTTAAAAATAATTTCTCATAATCCGAAGCCAAACCATTATATTCCTCTAATAGCTCATCATAAGATAAATCATCAAAATCAGATGAGTTAGAGGTTACCTTAGAATCTTCCCCGAATGCCATTAAGCACAAGTTTGCTACTTCTTGTTCCTCTTCATCGGAACCTTCTTCATCACTCCATGTAGCCACATGAGCCTTGTGCTTATTCTTTGATTGACCCTTTTTCTTCAATTGTGGGCAATCATATTTGACATGCCCCGGCTTTTTGCATTCATAGCAAATGATTGGGTCCTTCTCTTTGGTTCATTTTTGAGGCCTTCGTTTCGTTTGAATTTTCTTCCTTGGTAAGGTCTCATCATTTTTCTGAACCGTTTGGCAAACAATGCCATTTCCTCGTCATCATCATCATCATTAGAATCACTCTCATCTTTTGTGGATTTGAGAGCAACTCCAATGTTTTTCTTCTTCTCCTTAGGTGTCTCTTCAACTTTATCAAGGTCCACCTCATCTTCAAGCATCATCTCATGAGTGATTAGTGAACCGATAAGTTCTTCAAGAGTTAAGGACGATAGGTCCTTAGACTCTATGATTGTCGTCTTCTTTGATTGCCATGATTTTGGGAGGGAGTAGACTAACTTCCTCACAAGCTTTTCATTTGAGATGATCTCTCCATATGATTTGAGACCATTGACAATCGTTGAAAATCTATCCGTCATAGCTTTGATGTCTTCATTTGGTTTCATCCTGAAATTTTCATAGCTATGCGTTAGAATACTAATTTTTGATTTCTTTACCTCATCGGTACCTTCATGTGTGACTTGAAGCTTGTCCCATATTTCTTTGGCGGTTGTACACGATGAAACTCTTCCGTATTCATCTGGTCCAAGAGCACAAAAGATAATATGGATGGCTTTGGAGTTGAGCTGGAACATTTTGTATCTCCTTCACTCCACAACCTTGGATGAGTGATAGGCTTAATGTATCCTTCTTCTACGGCATTCCATGCTCCCATGTCACTTGCTTGAATGAAGTACATCATTCTATTCTTCCAATAGGCGTAGTTAGCTCCATTGAAGAAAGGAGGCTTGTTGACGGGCATAGAATCGAGACCGGAGTCGAAGTTTGAAGCGGAGGCCATTGATGAGTTTAACAATCGATATAACTCTTCCCGAATCGACTCAAGAGGCGATAAAACCTTCAAATGAGTTAGGCTCTGATGCCAATTGTTGAGTTAATCGAATGACGAAATTGGCCAAGAGGGGGGTGAATTGGTAATAAAAATTTTGTGGAAGCTTTTGCAGAGAATTGAAAGTATTTGCACAGCGATTTACAGTGGTTCGACTTTCTCAAACAAAGTCTACGTCCACTACCTTAGCTATCCACACTAAGGATTTTCCAACAAATTCACTAATTTGTTCTTTCTTTTGAGGCCAAAGAGATAACCTTACAATTCCCTCAAGAGTATACCCCAACTCTTGAGAACACTCTTTTCTCAAAGAGAAGATTACAAATTTGCAAACTTACAAGAAAACCTCACAAGGTAAGATGTTTGCACAATTCTAGAACAAAGAAAAGAACACTCAAAGATGAATACAATTGAGCACAGAAAGTGTTCTTGAAAGCAAAAAGAATATTGAATGAAAATAGGCTTGAAATGCTCAAACTTGAGGTTTGATGCTTTCTATTTGATTCTCTCTTGATTCTAGTTGCTTGATGTTTCTTGTTATTGATCAATGGCTTCTAAGCTTGCTTAAATACACCTTGGATCACTTCTGAACGTTGGGGATAATTAGAGAAGATATTATAGTCGTTTTAGTGTGAAAACATTTAATAAAACAGCTTGGAGCGTGGGGGGAATCGGTTCCCTCTCATAGGGAATCGGTTCCCTAAGTGTAAAATTCAAATATTTCGACCGTTGAACAGGGGGGAATCGGTACCCCTTGGGGGGGAATCGGTTCCCTCCGAGCATACTGGAATTCTCGGAACAAAAATGTTTAGGGGGGAATCGGTTCCTCCTATGGGGGAATCGGTTCCCTCCGAGCATTCTGGAAATCTCGGAGCCAAACCATTCAGGGGGGGAATCGGTTCCTCCTATGGGGGGGAATCGGTTCCCTCTGAGCAATCTGGAATTTTTGGCTTTGAATAGGTTCGAAATACTTTGTAAAATTATTTTGAAATTGTTTTATGATTAAAACTTAATTTTACACTTAAGTAAGGATCAAAAATGATTTTTGAAATATTTGGAGTAATGTTTTGATTATTCGAATAGTTATATCGAATATACTTAGAAAATCATTTGGAAAATCTTAAAATCCATTTAACTTAATTTGTTATATCGAAATATTAAAATGTTTCAACACCCTTCTTATTTTTTTTTGCTTTATTTTAGTTTATTTTACAACTTACATGTAGTAATATATTATAAAAAATTAAAAAAAAAATTAAAATTAAAATTTTATTTTATTGATTGATTATTCATTTCAATAAATTATAAAAATCATTTTTATTCAATAAAAATATTGACTTAATTGAAAAAAATTATATATAGAGGGGTATTATTATAATTATTCCTAAATATATAAGATAAAATTATATATTTTTTTCGGGTCGAGTCCGATTTTTTTCACCTAAACCCAACCCAAATATCACACTTAAAAAAACCCGACCCGACTCGACCCGAACAAAATAAAGTTTCACCCGACCCGATCCGAATATATGAATTAGAAATCTGACCCGACCTGACCCTAAATAATAAAAAAATATTTTTATTCAATAAAAACAGTGACTTAATTGAAAAAAAATTATATATAGAGGGTTATTATTGTAATTATTCCTAAATATATAAGGTAAAATTATATATATTTTCGGGTCGGGTGTTTTTCACCCTAAACCCGAACTCGACCCGACCCGAATATCACACTTAAAAAAACCGACCCGACCCGACCAAAATAAAGTTTCACCCGACCCGACCCGAATATATAAATTAGAAACTCGACCCGAAATAATAAAAAATATTTTTATTCAATATATGAATAAGTTATCAAAAGATTAATGAGGGTAGTATGGTCAAATTTCAATTCCCTCCAACAAGGGAATTAAATTCCATCAATCCTTGGATGAAATTCATTTTCCCTCATTTGATGGAAAGTTAAAGCCATGAATGATTCTAATTCCCTTGGAAAACTTGAACCAAATATGAGTGCGTTTGATTCACGGAATGTAAGATTACTAGGGAATAGGATTACTAGGAATGTTGTTTTTTGTGTTTGGTTGGTTTAGCAGAAATGTAAAATTACCGTGTTTGGTTAAAATAATAAAAGATTATTGAAATGTATATTTGACCAAATTATCCTTATTATATATATTTTTTTAACAATTTGAAAAATATTTATATATTTTCTTTAAAAAAAATTAAATTCATAAAATTTATAAATAAATATATATATATATATATATATATATATATTTATAAAATTAAAAATATAAAAAAGTTTAATGAAAGCTGAACTTCATATAAAATTTTAATTATAATTTTTTTTTGTAAATCTAAAATAATTTAAGGATAAATTTGTAATTTAACATTCGTAGAATTTTATTATTCAATAACAAAAGAATAATATTTTTGAAAAAAAAATTTAAGGACATTTTAGTCCAAAACACCGATAATCCAATAATACCTAAGAAAAGGGAGGTAATGACATTCCCGATAATATACCCAAAAAATCTACTATTAATAATTTTATATTACCGAGAATAAGATTCTCGAACTAACCGAACAAAAAAATATGGATTCTATTTGTATAAAAATCCCATCTTCCCCATCCAAACGCTCCGCACCTGTCAGTCACGTGGATGCGCGGTCACCGCTCCGAACCCTAGGTAAAAAAATCGAACCAACCGCCACCCGAAGATATTTCTCAAAGAACAAAATCACCAGACTTCCTTCCTTATTTCCCGATATAGAAAATAAAGGCACTCCAACGTTTCTCCGTTTCTATCTTCCGTTCCGTTCCTCTGTTTCTCCGTAATTTTCCTTCACTTCTTCACTTAATTCTTCATATTTGATCTCTTCTATAATTTCTATTTATTACTTTTTAGTTCAGTTTTTTTAACGCCTGATTATTATATTGTTATTGTTCTAATTACCATGTCACGGTTTAAGAGTTTAAGAAAGTTTAGGGATTTAGTCTTTTTTTTTGGTTTTCTGAATCCAATTTTTGATTTTGGTATGCTGCAGTTAATTTAAGTTGTTATAGAGATCGAGAATTTGAAACTTAAGGCGGTTGTTATGGCTGGTCAAAGAAATGATTACGGTAAGAGGTCCCCTTTTCAGTCTGATCACGCTGGAAATGGAGCAGGAGGTAGTAAAAGAAGGAATGGAGGTGAGGAAAATGAACAGCATGGGATTGGGCCTGAAGACACTGTATACCGTTATTTATGTCATGTCAGAAGGGCTGGGAGTATTATAGGGAGAGGTGGTGAGATTGTGAAACAGTTAAGGTCAGATAGTAAGTCGAACATTAGGATTTGCGAAGCTATGCCGGGTTGTGAGGAGAGGGTTGTTATGATTTATAGCTCTAGTGAGGAAACAAATCCCTTTGGTGACGGTGATGATGAACTTGTTTCGCCTGCTCAGGATGCTTTGTTTAGGGTACATGATAGGGTTGTTGCGGAAGTGTTGCCTGCCGATGAGGATTTCGAAGAGCAAACACATTTGGTTACTGTGAGAATGCTTGTGGCATCTGATCAGATTGGCTGTGTTATTGGGAAAGGTGGACAAGTGATTCAAACTATAAGGAGCGAAACACATGCTCAGGTTCGGGTTTTAAGTAATGAGCATTTGCCTTCGTGTGCTTTGGGTTCCGATGAGCTTCTTCAGGTAAAGTTGTTTTTCTTTTGTGAAAAGATACTACGTGTATTATGCCTTTATTTTAATAAATAGGAGAAAAGATGGTGGCTGTTTAACTGAATGAAACTTAAGCCGGATGATAGAGATGTATGGATATGAATCATGAGAATTGTTTGAATGAGACTTCTTTAAAAGGAACTTAGCTGTATCTTGGTGATATTTTGTACCCACAAATTCAGCTTCGCTTTCTAAAAAGGAAAGAGTTTATATTCCTGTCCGTTCTTTTGTTGTAAATGGTGGGATTTGGAAGATCTGTTGATTGATCTCAATTAGGCTTCTGACCAGGCAGTTCTTACCTTAAAATGTGTCCTTATGTTGTAACTGCATTTAATACCCTCCTCAAAGATGTATGAGTTGCTAGCTTATTAGGGGATTTTGAATCATCTCGCGGCCTTGTTGTTTACTCATTCAATTTCTCTGTCGAGATTTCAGATAGTTGGAGAGCCCTCAGTAGTTAGGAAGGCTCTGTATCATGTGGCATCTCGCCTTCATGATAATCCTTCAAGATCCCAGCACTTGCTTCCCTCCTCTCTATCAAATATGAATCTACCCGATGGGATGTACATGAATGCTCCCCTTATTGGTTCTTATGGAAACTATTCTTCCAGAAGAGATGATGGTTCTGCAAGGGAATTTTCTCTTCGTTTGGTTTGCCCAGTTGGAAACATTGGGGGTGTGATTGGAAAAGGTGGTGGTATTATCAAACAGATTAGACAGGAGTCTGGGGCATCTATAAAAGTTGATAGCTCTTCGGCTGAAGGAGATTATTGCATTATATTCATATCAGCGAAGGAGGTAAGAATACATTAGTTCATAAAATTTGCTACATTATCATTGGGGATTTTATATCGTCAAAAATTTTGGCATGCCAAATTATTTATATCTGCAGTTTATTGAAGACCCATCCCCAATCATCAATGCTGCTTTGCGGTTGCAATCACGATGCAGTGAAAAAACAGAAAGAGAGTCGAGTGATTCTGTAATCACCACCCGTTTACTTGTCCCAAGCTCACAGGTTGGGTGCCTTATTGGTAAAGGTGGGGCTATAATATCTGGGATGAGGAATGCTACTAGGGCTAGTATTCGCATACTTTCCAAAGAAAACCTTCCCAAAGTTGCATATGAAGATGAAGAGATGGTGCAGGTGAATAAATATACTTTTTGTTCTGCATATGCACTCTTCCTTTATCGTCACTCAATATCATAATCAGACTTTTCTAGTCGATGGAAATTTAATCTTCGAATGTGGTACAGATTACTGGAAGTCTGGATGTTGCTAGCAATGCCTTTTCGCAAGTACTGATGCATCTGAGAGCCAATATATTTGAAAGAGAAGCATCAGCTCCCGCATTTTTTCCCGTCCTTCCCTACATTCCCATGTCATTAGACATGTCAGATGGTCCTAAGTATGGTAACAAAGATGGTCAACCACGTAATCGTGGACACTCTTCTTATTCAGGGGGATACAGCCCCGATTTGTCCACAAGTGACAATAAAGGAACTTATAGTGGTTCACTTGTAAGCTTGTCTTTTCATTTAGTTCCTCCTTTAACATTTCCTTGCAAAGATGCATCTAGTCATTGCAGCCAGGTGTTTTCTAAAGTGCAACATCTGTATTTGAGAACTATCCATCCCATTGCATATTTATGATGTTCTGCATGCATAATTTATATCTCACGTTTTATTTTACTTACTCTGAATGTTTTATGTTTCATTTTCCAGAGTGGAAGTGACATCTATGGAAATCATGGTGGTCGGAATTCCGGTCGGGGGTAACGTTTACCTATCTAGTTAGAAAATTTTGATCACCTGTGATTTTCTCTAATATCAATTGTTACAACTTGCCTGATTTTTATCTGTCATCAGGTTGTCCAATGTAAACCAAGTTTCACATAGGAAGCATGGGTATTAGTCCTGGGTTCTAGACCCCACAGGTAAATCAAAATGCATCTCATTTCATTTATTTACTTTGGGTGTTGATATGCCAGTTGTTTTGGTTCTTTTGCATGAAGATATGCAGAATGATATCTTAAACCCTGCCAGCCATCCCATGCCAAGGATTCCACTGCACCTTCCCCACTTGTTGCCCTTTCTCCCCTATCTAAACAGTTGCCACAAATTTTGAAGCCAGACCTTTCCCCTTTTCGATGAAGCCAGCCTATACCAGAAGACCAGACAAATTGGGTTTGAGAAACTTATGTTCTACTTTGGCCACCATCGTGCTTGCTTGGGTGACCAAGAATAAGATCATTTAATGATGCAAATCACCATTCGATCATTTTTGGCCTGGACTTCATGATTTTCAGGCTCTGTAACGAGTTTCTAATAATGGCTTTCCGTGTAAAAATCCTTAGACTTGTATCCTTGACATTTGGCACTTTGGCTGATGAATTGATTTTAATGTTTTATAACGTGGGAGTTAATGTAGGACCTACTTGATTTTTCATGTATGCATGTGGTTTGAGATCTGCATCGGGTAGGAAAGGTGTAACTTCCATCACACTTCGGTTTCTTGATTACATTTTACATGTAGCTAAAATGAATGGTTCTTTTCTGGAGGTGTGGTGGTCCCTTTTCTTCTCTTGAAGAGGAGAGGTCATGTTTCTGTCTAGCACAGTGCTTTCTTGATTACATTTTACATGTAGCTAAAATGAATGGTTCTTTTCTGGAGGTGTGCTGGTCCCTTTTCTTCTCTTGAAGAGGAGAGGTCATGTTTCTGTCTAGCACAGTGCTTTAAAAATCATTCCTTAACACCATTATCTGAGATTCGAGTTTTCTTAAAATGTGGGAAGTGACATAAGACTGGTATGAACTTGTAAATCACTAGAGGGCTGTTTTGTGAAGAGACCTAGACCTGAAATGGAATGATTCGACGGGTAGGTTTATTATTGGTTATTGCTTTCTCGTTCTTTTATCCTGTTTGATGGACCGTCAAATTTAGTTCTTTATGCTACTTTTGCAGGTGGTTTATATCATTGGCTTCCTCTTATTGGGAGCTGGTAAGCTGTATGTACCAACTATCTGCTTCTGTTTGTGATAACAGAGACTAAATAGAGTTGGTCCATTATAATAGAACCATAAAGTTGAAATGTGAAATCCTTAATTTGAAAATGATATGATCATTTTACAAACGAGGAGGAATTGAACTGATGTGTTCCATAATGGTAGGAGTTAGCAGCTTTAGTTTTATGACAAAAGTCAGGTTGCACCGACTGGGGAGCTTCCGAAAAATTCTTTTTTTGAAAAAAAAACACCAACAATATAAATACTTTCGTACCTGATGGTTTGTGCGGTTGTTAATTTTACTTTGAATACTGATTTAATGCATGGTGTGCCTTGCATGCATAAACCAGTTTTCTCTGGATACTTGTATGAATACATGCATATGCATGAGTTCCAATTTAGGTGTAGTTTTATAGCAACCATTAGAACACTTTATACTAGCATGAATTGTAAGAGGGTTTTGATAACTACAAATTTTGTAAGATTGAAATATGAATTCGTAAATTTTCTTTAAAATTCAAAAGGTTTAGTATTACTTTGAGTATGAATCAAGTATCTATACCTGATGGATATCGATTTGAATATCCAAATTCTTTATTAATTAAAACTGGTTTTGAGAATAGAAATACGAATCTGAATATTTGACGACACCTGTTCAAATCCGAACTTAAAAACAAAATAATTTTAAATATCTAAATTTGTATAGTTCTAGACGAGTAGAATTAAATTTTCAATATATATATATGTATATATTTTAAAAATAAATGTTATAGCTTTAAACTTTGAGGGGGACAATTGCTTTTACCGTTGCCGGTTTTCCTTCATCGTGTGGAAATGAGGCAAACTCTTTATCCTAACATTAAGACATAAATGAAGGCACGCACCAGGTGGAGGAGATAACCGGCAAGTTGACAGTGGCTACAATTCTTTCTCATTTTGTATTATGATGATAGTAAAATTCGAAATGTTAAATACGAATCACTTTGACATCTGTAATGGAGGAGGTCAAGTCATGAGAGACAAGATCTGGACAACTCGAGTCTGATGACGACGAAATCCCGGCAAAATTGATGATGTTCATGGGGCTGTTATATTAGAATCGTACAAAGAATCCTTCCTGCTGCAAGAACACTAGGGAGTGCCACTTTTCTATCAATCCACCCTGCTGAGTATAGTGAACAGCCCATGATTGTAGCCTTTTAGGCTATGATACTTGAATTCAACTGCAATGTCAAAGAAAATTGTCTATTCTACTTGACATGTCTATATAAACTTCTCTGTCACTGGCCATTGTTATAACTCAAAAGCTTATACCAAGCACTACATCTTACTGGAGGCTGGTTTAAGGCTTTTCTTTTGTAATGGAATTATAATCGTATTAACAAGACCTGCAAAAGAACAAATTGCCAATTCCTCATGTATGTCACCGGCTGCTTGTTGATAATGCTCAAAGTATTGGTAATACTCAAAATTCCACTAGCATGAGAAAATGCTCAAATTAGGTTATAGCATTATCATGGAAAATGCTGCTAATTAAATATTGGAAATATAGTGTTGGAAATGACCATTTTACCCTCACTATTTATCCTGTAAATAGAGAGCAAATTCATTCATTTTAATCATCCCAAGCAAAACATTTGCTTTGAAACACTCCTCTATAGTGAGTGTTGTTTGAGTTGAGAGAAGAGCAATACCACCAAAGTTCACTCCAGTTTTCGGGTGTACGAATTCTTGGAGAGTCGTGTTAACCTCGAGGGAACGGTCCGCCTACTGCAACGATTACACACATCGGGGCGAATTCGTTTCTAAGGCAGTGGATTACCACGACACGGTTATCATTCTGATTGATTATTTTATTTAATATTTTTCAGTCAATGCTAACGCCTCGTTTTGCAGCAGTCTATTTTACCAACAATTTAGAAACGAATTCTTATACTGCTGTTAACACATGGTTCTTACATAGGTAAGAATCAAAAGGTTAGTACGAACAATATATCTAAACGTCAAATATGTTTTAAATCACGCGTTTTAAACTTAAGAGCTTTTAGTGTATAATTGTGCTAAGATCGAGAATTGCATGACATTAGCGTTAAAGGAATTTAAAATAGGTGCTTAAAGGCATTCGAAACTTATGGTAATTTAACGTTAATGCATAATAATGAATATTAATACACGAGATTAAATGCATGTATACGCCATATAGAAATTATTCAAAATTCAGCACGAGTGGCACTGGAATCTTGTCTGTCATATGCCATATCTCAGCCTAATATGTAGGATCATTTTGCATAGAAGAAGATATTGAGCGAACATCGGCTAAATAGTGATAATTGTTGTTTACATGATGAGCTGATTAAAAAATGTGGACGCACAACTCCATATAATTATGAAGCAGTGAAAGGTGCTTTTTCTTGGCAAGCCAATGCGGGACAGATTAAGCTCTTTGCTGAGTGAAAGTACAGTTGCCTTCAACCTAATTGATTAGCTTTGGGAAATCAAAACATATCTTTTGCCTAATAATGTATGAGGTTTAAAACCATATTCACGTGAGCAATTAAAGCCATTAAATATCGTTTTTTAACATTGGTTTTAAAAGTGATAAATGCATGAGATTAATGCATTAACGATGCATGAATTGAAAACCGTTTTATTTATAGCTTTTAATGATTTTCATAATGGCTATGAAAACATTGGTTTTAATATGGTTTATTGAATTGAAGAACAATTTTAATGGTTAGATTAATCAAAGATTAATGACCATTTATAATTGTAAAAGGCCAAATGGTTATGGAAAATATTTATTAAAAGCTCATAAATATTTTAGAATATGTTATTTAAAACATTGGAACGGTCGAATGACAAAAGTTTTAATTTGTATGTATGATAGTTGATATGTGGAGAAGAGTAACTATTTATTTTCATATGGGGTAAGATTATTCAGTTTCTGAATATCAAGTTGAAAATAAATATCAACTATTTTATCATACTAATAATTTCTTTTGAGAAATTTATAAAGACGACAGGATGGTTGCAATTTTAGAGAATCATGAAGATGGTGATGTTGAATGAGAAGATTCTCCAAAATTGAATAGTTGTTAAATTCGATTTGATTTCCATAATCTCTTGAAGATAAGATGCCAAAATCCTAAAGATAAGGATCTTGTCACTATCAATAAATCATCAAATTATTGTTAGTAAATTAATTTCGACTAACCATGTATATTCTTCATTTGACTTCAGAAGATTTAAAAGAAATGATGGTTCAGATGAAGATATTGTCACGATGGATTTTGGGATCATGCTGATTAAAAATGATGATGCAAAGGCTGAAGTAACATGCATGGTGAGAATAAATAAGTCTATTTGGAAATTATGACTATACCTGCGAGGTCAGATTATTTAGACTTGTTATCTGTTAATTCAAGTTTTTTTAAATACATGAATTAGATTGCATGAGCCTTTAAGATAGTCTTTAGTGGATACTATGAAATGAGATAAAACCACTAGTAAAGACTAAGGTAGTACTACTAAGGCTAAGGCAATAGTGTGAGCCCAAAAATATATGCTTAATAAGATACTATTGTGATTAAAAGTATCAAGCATAATTCTTTAAGAAGCCTTAAGAAAAAGAAAATCCACAAATGATTTATTGGAAAGAAGTGTGATGAGTATGAAAGTACATGCCTAGGATTGGTTCTGTGAAGACTTGGTACATAAGTGTGCCTAGTGCACCACCTCTCTTTCATAGAAACCTACCTGGTGCATTGTTCATTACTATGCTTACTATTCCGATACTATGACAAAATAAAAACTCTTAAAACTTAGTGCAGAAGTTAAAAGAGTATAGATTAATTTGGTTGAGTGGAATACCAAATTTAGTCATAGTAAATAAAATATGTGATAATCTCTTTAAGGCTAATATGTTAATTATCATGAATGAAAATATGATAAACACTATTGCTACTAAGAGTGTGTTGTAGCAATTAAATCTCTTTAAGTGATTTTCCTAAGTAGAGGAAAGAAAAGAGATGATCTATTTCAGAATTTGTGCTAAAATCTCTTGTTTTTAAACTTGAGATCATTTTTCTTGATGTTAGGAAAATCGAAATTCATTTTGAATGAGGAAAAGTCATAAATAATTTCATATTGGTTTATGCATTTTAATCTTAATGATTTGGAAATTCTCAATACTTTGAGAATATAATTATGTGTAAACAAAACTTGAGTTTGTTAAAATATAGTTTTATGGCTAAAACTCATAACAAACTTTACTCTAGTATGATTGAGTATTTGTTTGCACGTTTTACACGACACTTATGGATATCCTAAAATGTTAGAAATGTGGGGGTATCTTAAAATGTAAATTAAATGCATAAACTCAAATAGAAAATATTTTATCCACTTCTTCTAGTATTCCTGCTAGGTCTTCTCAAGAAA